CGACTGAGGCCATCTCGTTGCAGCACCTGCAGTTGGTGCTGGAGGACCGGATGGCGGCGTAGGTGATGCAGCCAGGGGCCGCTGGGGAGGTGGTTGGTAGCCCGTTGGCGGTTGCGGTGGGTGTGGAGGCTGAGGAGGTTGAGGAGGATGGGATGAGTGAGCGGCTGGTGGATGACTCTGTTGATGTTGTGCGGGTTGAGGTCGGGCCGGAGGGGCAATCGGCGTCGTGGAGATCGGCCGACCCGGGGGTTGGATCGCAGACCCCTCTGGTGGGCCCTTTACGGGCGTCGAATGCATCGGCGCAACCAGCTGCCCCTTTGGCTGCGTCTGCCCATGAGGCTGCGCTTGACCTTGAGGCGGTGGGCGAGCCTGAGGTTGTGGTTGTGGCTGTGGTTGACCCTGGGGGGGTACTAGCATAGGTTGTGATTGCTGAGGATACCTTTGGCCTGGGCTCGGCTGAATAGGTACGTGTGGAGGATGCGAAGGGCCATGATATTGACCTTGAGGTTGAGAATACCATTGTGAAGGATGATGCTGACTGGACGGAGGTTGTCCTGAGGTTACAGGCACTTGTGGAGGCATAGGACGGCCAGGCGTTTGAGCAGTCGGCTGGTAAGGCTTCTCCCACTTGAAAGTACCCGGGGTTGCTGGCTGTGCAGGAGTTGGCGGGCCAGGAGTACGCGTCTTCGAAACACTGTCTGGTCTGGGTGAAATCGCTGGCAGAGGCACTGGCGATGTCGACTGCCCGGGCCTCACTGGTGGTTGACCAGCACCAACAGGGGGCTGCAAGACCTGACCAGCGCCACTGTGAGGCTTTGGAGGTTGATGCGGCTTGGAAGAAGCTGGAGCATTCGCAGGTGCAGGAGATGCCCCGGCAGCCGCTGCTGCTTGTGCAGGAGGCGGAGGCGGCGGCGGCTGTTGGAAGGCGCCTGCAGGGGCGGCCACATCTCGCCTGGCAGGTACGGTTTGCGGAACCGGTGGTGGTACTGGCGTCGTAGTCGGGGGTTGCTTGATTTGAGCTTGAGGAGGCAGAGGTACCGGCGTTGGAACTGGCACTGGGGTTTGCGTCGGAGCTGTGGCCTGTGCCGGGGCGGGTCTGATTTGTCTCGGTGCTTCGACATGAGGCGCTGGAGCCGGAGGCTTGACCTGCGGTTGGGCAGCCGCGGCCTGCACAGGATTCGGGAGCGTAGATGGAACCGGGACCGGCGTCGGCGTTGTCTTGGGCCCTGGAGTACCGTTAGGAGCTGGCGGGCGTGGTGGTGCAGCCGCCTTCGCCTCCTCCGCTCTCTCCTCGGCATCCAAAGACGTTATCTCCCCAGCCAACACAATGAGTCGTTCCTCCTGCTCCCTGATGCTCTTCACGGCCGAATCTCTCCATCTGGCGTATAGTCTCTCCACGAGTGCCGGATACTCGGCGACCTGTTGCTTTGCCTCCTTAAGGGTGGGAACGGGTGGGCGATTCAGCTTGCGTCTCTTAGCATTCGGAGAGGTCGTTGTCCCATTGGCGGTCGCCAGTTCCTCGGTCCAGACGTTGAGAAAGAGCTGTCGGAGTGCGTCTGGAGTCAGGCGGGCTGCATCGTAGGAGGCATCGGTGTTGATCAGCTCATTCTCGACGAGAGCTTTCGCGGCTCGGTCGAAGCCATCGGTGGTGATGCCGGTGCGGGCGAGCTCCTGGAAAAGGAACAAGGTCTCGAGAGGAGTGTGGGCAACTGAGTGACTCATCCCCCAAAGTCCTCCTCGCCAGCGATCGAGGGGACCGTCGCGACTCTGGAGAAGATGAACGGGCGCCAGGTTCTGCATGTCAAAGGTCAGAGAGGTGTCATGTTTGATGGGGATCGCAAGGCTGAATGAAGGTCGCGAGGCAGGACGTACTGGCAACCGCTACGAGAGCTCTGGGTGGATCAGGGCATCTATCTGGGCGCGTTTGGGGGGTGTAGGGATGGCAATCGGAGCCACACCTCTATGCGCGCGTCGTGGGCGTGTCGTTGGGTGATGTTTTTTTTGGCTGCTGGGTGAGAATGATCACGTGATACAAGATGTCGGAGATGGAATTTTTTTCTGCTGGATGCTGGTCGCAGGCGGGCCACTAGGCGGTCGATGAAATTTTCTTGTTGGTCGGTGGTGTCGGCAAGGTTTGGAATGTGAAGATGGGGAAACAGAACAGAATCTGGAGCATCCGGCGGGCGTGACGAGCCTTTTACGCAGAGCAGCAACTTCACACACGGGCAGCAGGAGGAGGCTCAAGGTGACGGCTGGACGGGAAGGTACCTCAGCTCAGCTCAGCTGGTCTGTCCTGGAGCTGATGGTCACGTGTAGGCTTGCCGGGAGCTTTCCCAGTTGTGCTCAGCAGAGGTCAGGCTTAGGTAAGGCAAGCAGCATGGCAGACAGCGGCTGTTCCTGCCTTAGGCGTAAACGGTCTCGAAATCCGATAAACGATGCACCAATAGGAAGCAGGAGGCATGAGCGACGACACCGACAAGGTGCCTGCGCGGAAAACGCAAGGACCACCTCACCTCACTCACCAGTCATCACCGCCCGCTGCGCCGCGGGTAACCTAAGCTGCCCTGCGAAATGGAAGCCACGCTGTTTGCGGCCCGCCGGCGCTTCTCTTAGCCAGAAAACGGAGAGAGGTGAGCAGCAAGCCCAGCGCGCTCAGTGCCTCACCCGACTGCTTAGTGCCTCACCCCTGCCATCAAAGAAGCCTTACCGCACCTTAGTCAGACCGATCAGTGGCTTCTCACGGGTCCCCATGTTTGAAAAGGAGAAGCTGAGGTGGCAGTTGCAGTCTCCAGTCCAGAGTCCACTCGAAAGAACAGCTGGCGAAGCCGGCCAATGGCAATGCCAAGGAATGGGCCGTATCAAACCCTCCTCGTCCCGGTATCCCGGCCTCCCGCTTCACTGGCTGGAGGGTCCCGAACCCTTTCGGCATCGCAGCCTCACCCGGTAAAAAATTGGCTTTGGCCGGACGACAAGGAAGCACGTCCCGGGCACCGATTCAATATTGACGGAGCATCAGTACGGACATGTAAGGCATCCCGACGTCGCGTCAAACAAGGCCTCGTCCAAGGTGATACAGCTGGCGAGCCTGCCCGGACCATTCTCGCCGACGCCGGTATCAGGATGCTGCCGTGCACGAGTAAGGAAGCCGTGACGTCGTGGTCCGGAGGTGGACATGTGTAAACAACGGAGTGATGGCCACGGAACCGTGCCCGTTCCAAAAGGTCCTGCCAGCAAAAGTCAATGGGTGCTCGCTGCATGCTGCTCCGACTGAGGCGCGGCACAGGATGCATGTTCAATAGCCGCATCCGAGAGGCGAAGAAAAAAACACAATCCCTCCTTGTCAACAGATGGCAGATTTTATATTGGCCGACACGGATTTGCCCCATAGATCTGCCGCATTATTTCCAGACAGTTGTTTTGTGAGTACATATTTGCTACCCCAAACGAAGCCAGCATGGCCAGATACCCGTCTTCATTGCCTGAAATTCGACGTTTGCCCAGGAGCAGCATTCTCACCAGGTCGGCCGGCAATCACCCACTGTATCGGTATCCGCAATTGAGCCCGATTCACCAGCATGTGAGTTGGGCTGTCCGTCCACAGTCCACGCAATATACCGAGATGCGCACTGGGAGACCTGCCATTTTCGCTGAAAAGACCCGAGGGGCTTGACTCGGCTGCAGTACCTGGAAGGGAAAGGATATGGATACGCAGGCAGTGTCTCCGTGTTACATACGCAATACGTACTACGGATACTGAACAGCGACCCCTGAAGCCTGTGTTTTTCTCTCTTTCTTTTTTTAAGCTCGGCTGTCTGGATGCAGGTCAATGGCGGATTGCGAAATAGCGGCGGCGGCTCAAAGGATTGGACGCCGTGCGTTTTTGCGGGCTGACAGCCTACAGAACCCCAGACACTGGAGGCTGCCCCGTCTGCTAGCCAGGCTGCTTGGCATCGGGACATGGGAGCAGAGTTCGGGATGATGGAAGCGACGGGAGTCCATCGAAGAGGGGTTTTTTGATATCTGCTGCTCTGCACGTTGCGTTGTCTGTTTCTGCAGCATATCCGGGGCAAGTTGCGGATATTCGTGGCAGTCAATATTTTGGCACGGCTTGAACAAAAACATCACGGAAGTTTTTCTTGATATACCTACATCCATATGATGTGCCACAGCAACAATGCCTATGACGATGGAACAGCGACGACGCAACCCATTTGCTGTCCGAACAATGGTCATGGAATGGATTCTCATTACCCAAGGGCTGGCTGTCCAATCCGTGCTGCTGTATTTGTTTGGCACCTTGGGGCGTCTCTTGCACCGTCCCGTTAGCCGAAAACAGGCCCTCTGATGCCATCCAGAGACACGGCATCGATTGGAAACACTGTGGCAACTCGCTGGAAGGCGCTTCCCAGCGTCCTTCGAAGGCCTGGGGAGACAGCTGGAGGCTCGCGGCTACGGCTATGGTGCACTCTCGTTGCAGCGGAGTCCCCGTGCAAATCTCGGGGTGAACCGGTATCTCAATTCCATGGCAGACTAGCGTCACTGCCTCAGGCAGCAAGCAGGCACCTGGACTGGGCCGCCAGAGTGCTGTTGCCCGGCCAGAAAACTTCGTCGACCTGCACCTTCCCAGCGAGTGAGCACTCCAGTGTGTGAATTTTGGGGGAGGTGGAAGGGGGGCGGGTGGGGCCCCTTCCAGACTCTGGAGCCCCGAGAGGACACGGCGGACTGTGAGTGTGGAGACGGCGCCCACCTTCGCTCTCCCACCCTGAGCCTGTCTGTGGTGGCCCTTGCTCCTTTTTAGCGCGCCCGGGAAGATTCGCTCAAAAGCTGTTCCTTCTTCGGCCACCCTGCAGGAATTTTTTTCCCTCCCTCAAACCTGCTACAGTCGGAGCACTTAAATTCTCTCGACTCGCACTTTTCCCTCACAACTTTCTCCTTCCTCCGTCCATCTCCGCTCATTCTTTTCTCCAAGGTTGATCTTTTGAGAAGATACCACAGCCAAGATGTCTAAGGAAGAAGTCCGCGTTCTGGGCATGCCGGTAAGCTTCACCCTCGCTTCCCCTCCTTCTCCCGGCTGCGCGAAGAAAAGAATTGCCTCGCTGTCGTCGATGCCGCCTGCACCCACCAGCGACCTGCCATCTCCCGCCATCGATATCAACAATGCCCTCAACTGCAAGGGCAAGGTCTTGCGAACGTCGACCTGTTTTGATGCGACAATGGCCTATCACAAGCTTATCGGCGGTGGTTGAATCGACTGGATGCCAACAACGACAATTCTTTTCGGCGTCAAGCAATGGGATACAATCACATCAAAGGACAATAGCATGCTAACGTTTCATCCTCTAGCCCTTCATGGCCGACTTCCTCAGTACGTTCAATTGATCTCGAGATCGACGTTTCGCTCCTATCAGCTCCCCGGTTTCGGCGAGCTTGTCGGGCAGGCGCGATATACACAGCATCATTCCTGAAGACGAACTAACAATTGCAACAGTGGGAGGTGTCTCTGCCGCCGTCTCCAAGACTGCTGCTGCCCCCATCGAGCGTATTAAGCTCCTCATCCAGAACCAGGTTAGTGAGAACTTTTCTGCGATGTTGGCCAGCCAGGTCCACCCGGGTACCCCCGGTAAAGTGTCATTTCGCTTGACACGTGACCCTGGCCCCTGTCACATTCAACCACAATCCATCAGCAGCGATAGCCGCTAACAACCTAACAGGATGAGATGCTTAAGCAGGGCCGTCTGGACCGCAAGTACGAGGGTATCGCCGACTGCTTCAAGCGTACCGCTGCCGACGAGGGTGTCATGTCCCTGTGGCGTGGTAACACTGCCAACGTCATCCGTTACTTCCCTACCCAGGCACTGAACTTTGCCTTCCGTGACAAGTTCAAGAAGATGTTCGGCTACAAGAAGGAGAAGGACGGCTACGCCAAGTGGATGGCTGGTAACCTGGCCTCCGGTGGTGCCGCTGGTGCCACTTCCCTCCTCTTCGTCTACTCCCTGGACTACGCCCGTACCCGTCTGGCCAACGACAACAAGAACGCCAAGAAGGGTGGTGAGCGCCAGTTCAACGGTCTCATTGACGTCTACCGCAAGACCCTTGCCTCCGACGGTATTGCCGGTCTCTACCGTGGCTTCATGCCCTCCGTCGCCGGTATCGTCGTCTACCGTGGTCTGTACTTCGGCATGTACGACTCCATCAAGCCCGTCCTCCTCGTCGGCACCCTCCAGAACAACTTCCTCGCCTCTTTCGCTCTCGGATGGCTCGTCACCACCGGAGCCGGTATCGCCTCTTACCCTCTTGACACCATCCGTCGTCGCATGATGATGACCTCTGGTGAGGCCGTCAAGTACAAGGGCACTTTCGACGCCGGCAAGCAGATCGTCGCCAAGGAGGGTGTCAAGTCTCTCTTCAAGGGTGCTGGTGCCAACATTCTCCGTGGTGTCGCCGGTGCTGGTGTCCTGTCCATCTACGACCAGCTGCAGGTCCTGCTCTTCGGCAAGGCCTTCAAGGGTGGCTCTGGCTAAATGCCATGACACCTCTCCGTGTATAAACACTTCATCTGGTGGCGGGTTGGCAGTTGGCGAACACCCGGGCTGTGGGGATTCATGGCTGTGGCTGGGATTAGATGAGGAAATGGTTGACAAAAGGGGTGGGATGGAAGTTGCGGAGGGATTATGATACAGACCTGGAAGGTTGTCTGGATCTGCTGGTCCTACGTGGTTTAGACTGGCATCTGGCAAGGCGTTCTCTTTACCCATGACCTGAAGAGCTTTGCTTGCTACCTAATCCACTGTAATTTGTACACTAAAGCAATTTTCGATTGCATGCCTTCACGCAACCCTGTCTCCGCTGGACTCGACCGTCTTCTGGTCTATCCTGATGGATTTTCCTTGGTATTGCATGACACACACGCTTGATAGACCCCTTCGTGGTAGAATGGGAAGATTTCCTTGGTTGAAACTTGCTCTGCCCTGTGTCTGCGATTTTGTTGTGCACTAGATTTTTCGTGGTGACCTCGCTTGCTTCCTGTCCTTGTTGCCATGTGGCTCAAATATTGGAAGTTTTGACGCCGCCCGCATGTGATTGGCCAGTGGCAGGCGCCCGGCCGTCGCGCCTGCGCTCCCGAAGTCGCGTCTCGGCTCAAGCTTCCCTTGCCTTCCCCCACATGCTGCTACTCCCCGCCTAGATCGCCTGATCTCAAGTCAGATCAGATCTCGGACCTACTTTACGCTGCAGCACCCTTGACTGACACCTGCCATTCCTCTGTCTACTTTGGGGTCGGTCCTTCCCGAAGAGCTGGCACACAGTCTTCTCTTTTCTCCGCAGGCCATTCTCTCTCAGCCCACTCACGTCCTTGCCGCGACACGCCACCCGCGCGTTAGACCACACGGCACACGACAGCCTCTCTCTTCTCGAACGCTACCTCTGCCCTCCAGTCCTCCACGACCGCAGACATGCCCAGGCCACCAGCTCAGCCCGCTAAGCGCGGCCGTCCCTCAAAGTCCACTCAACCCGCCACAACCAACGCGTCCACGAAGCGCAAGGCCGCTGCCCCCGCGCAGCCCCGCAAGAAGACAACGGGCCCGTTCGAGCTCTCCGACAGCGACGCGGCCCCTGCTTCCCGGGCGGCCGAAGACGAGCAGCAGGAGGAAGAGGAAGAGGAGGAGGAGCCCGAGGGCCCGGAGAACACGATCCCGCCGGAGCTGCTGACGCGGCTGCTGCACGAGTTCTTTGAGAAGGACGACACGCGACTTAGTAAGGACGCGAACGCCGCGGCGGGGAAGTACATGGATGTGTTTGTGAGGGAGGCCATTGCGCGGTGTGTGCATGAGAGGCCGGGCGGGTTCCTTGAGGTGGGTTACTTACGTGTTCCACAGAGGAACGAAGCAGTCGATTGCTAACGTGTGTTTAGGTCGAGGATCTGGAGAAGATTGCGCCGCAGTTGCTGATGGACTTTTGAGGGTGGGATTACGTGTTTAATGAGTTATGATACCCCGGGTTACTTGCTATACAAATGTTGAAGGAAAGAGATTAGGAAGAGTTCTTCCTGCGAAATATTGGGGCCGGAATTTATGTCGTCAGAGGTCTATAACGACCTTCCTATCGATCGTCATACCACATTCTGGCCATCAACTTACGCTTACGTTGCTTTCGTCTAGCCTTTTTGCCTCCTCGTGCCGCGAAGCTCTATTCCCGCCTGCCGTCCTCGCGTGCCTATATAACACCATGTTTACTCTTCTCCCCTTGGCTCTTTAGGCAATGTAGGTGCCTGTAGCCGCGATCTCATCTGCCTACCCGAGGTCCCAATCCTTTTGTAGCCAGCCTTGCATTCAGTATGCTCAACTATGCCAACAGTTGAGGTCGCCCAGTCCTGTGAGGATCCACCAAGCATCTGACACGAATAACAGCAGAAAGAAAGTGGGGAGAAGTGAAAGAGCGTACGAAGTGACGCCATGAAATAGGCGGATCTGGGCTTTGATGTTTTTTACATTGGCGATTGAAGCCAAGGATACATGGCAGAGAGTAAGCGATGGGATGAAGCTTTGATTGGGGTGACGGAATTAGTTCAGGCGGCATGCTGCCATTATATACATCATAGATAGCAAAGGTTGTCACACCCAAACCTTCCCCTTCGCGGACTACATAGGTTCATCTCACAGGGCGTCCAGACACCCGGGTAATTTGCTTGAGAGTTCAAACGCAAATAGATGTCAAGAGTTTTGTGGCCACGACCGCATCCGGGAGCTGTTCTGACAATGGACCATACTTGCTGATAATAATCTACAAGGCGCATCTATGGAGTATTCAGTGAATTGAATAGAGGACCAGAGATAGGGGAGAGGGACCGCCGGTTCTACCTAGAGAAACGCACCATCGCCGTAAGCTTTGCTGCTTGTGCCGTCGCGTACTGTCATGATTATGTGCTCATCATGGTGCCGAGTTCCGCGGACATTGCTGGGTTCTCATTGGGTTTCCCGCGGTGTTCCAGAGGACACCGATCGGTTTTGTAGAACAGGGTGATAGTTATCGGGAGTTCCGCTGAACTATAGCCTTCTCGATTGTCATTCTCAGTTCAGGATTTAAGTGTTGGAAACCGCTCAGCTAAGGGGATCGACAGATGTACCAGAGACGTGAATTACGGTTGAGAGTAGATGAAAGTACAACAAGATGCATCAGAAGACTCATTGTTGGGATATGTGTGTGAGCATGGCATCCATCGACACATTATGTCTAAAGGCTGTTGTATGTGGATGAGAGTCGAAGACTCAGCTGGGCGATCTTCTTCCCCTTCCTGTCTCTCGTCTCCAGGGGTTTAAACTCAATGTACCATCAAACTACAGTGCTCGATTCCATCCTGCTCCTCCGGGCACTGTGATTGTTACACTTTTTCTGTAACGATGGTCATAACGACAGGTGACGGACGAGATGAAGCCATGGAGGCAGAAGGGTGGCCGTCTACTAGAGAAATTGTTGGAGATCGAGCTCTGTCCGAGTTTGCTGTTGCTAATATAATCTGGTCCTGGTGACTACAGCTCATCTCCAAACTACTCACACAATCTTTACATGGTCTAGTTCGCATGGTGACAGAAGGAGTTGCTGCCGAGGCATTCACCGAAAAGACGTGTTCTTTATAAGTCAATTAGAAAGGTTTTACTTATGATCACAGACCGCAATGGGCTCCCATTCTGAAGCCTGTCGGTAACTAGAGCTCGAACATATTGCCATTCGAAATGAATGTACATCGAAGCCCGTCTATTTCTGAAAGATGAGGGCTCACAGCGTCATGTCGTGAGTTGAGACCCCGCAGTCGTATTCCGGAATAAACCACCAGGGCCAGGCATGAGAAACAAGGAACTGCAACCACATACAGTCCAGTCACAGATAACATCTCATATGATATCCAATCTACCTAGAAAATCGCACGGCGGTGGCGGGGTCATGCTCGTTCCCATCGCGCTTAACCCGAGCTTCCTTCTCATTCAGGAAAGATGACCGCTAAACTTCGAGCGTGAATAGAATCACTCAAAGACCCCAAGACACACTGACATCTGTGACTGTAGATACTAGATATTGAGTGGAGTTCAATTTTGGTGCTTTGCCCCCTGGCCTATTGACAGCGCAGGACCATCGAGTCAAAATCAAATGCAAATCAAGCAGGACATAGAAGCACTCAACGAGGCCATCGGGTTCATTGATGCATTCATGTCTTGCCCGCCTGAATATTCAATACCGAAGGCATAGTGCTTCCTCGACAAGTCCGCACGTCACCAGTCCATCAGAGCATCAGCTTTTATCGTATTATAGTCAGTACGTATACACATAAGCAAAGGGGAATGACTGGGAATAACGCATGTTTTTATGAGCAGCCGTCTGCTCGGGGGTTTCTGTGCAACATCAACCTTTCCGTGTTTGCTTGAGATTATCACAGCTTAATTTGCTAACGCAGCTCCCAGCTGATGACTAGTTATCATTCTGTCAGGTCACTCCTAGAACCTTGGGAACATGTTTAAGTAGTGTGAAGTGGTGTGGTTAGCGAACGGCAATTCGCGATCAACGTCGATATGGTGAGGAATTTTGAGAATCATGTATAAAAGACGTCTCGTCTGGCAATGCAACACACCAGACAACAATACAATTCTTCTCCAAGGGGTGGGTACCAGCCTCCGTAAGAGCATGTTGACTAATACGCTAAGACATTCTGATGGATCTATCTCATCGTCTGAACGGCTTCTTTAAGTTTCGTTTGCTGTAGCCAGTTTGTCGACTCCTGTCACTCTTGTTCTGAGCGTATCACTTCTCGTATTAGGCTTCCTAAACGAGCGGAAGTAATCATCTGGGGTCTGGAACCATTCCTTTCTGAGTGAACCAAGCTTTCTGGTATCCTCAACCGAATAATCGACGGTCAGCAGATAGGGAAATTAGGCTGCACAAGCTGTAAGCCTGCCGCACATGTTAAACTTCGTCGAGATTGCCACTAATATGTATATTGCACCAATGGGCCTCAAATTTTGAAACCTAGGATCCTGGTATTTCTAATCTCAATTAGTAGATGACTCCGGGTCGTACTTACGTACCTGAAAGATACACTGAGGAACCGATATGGTTTCACGACATGAGCATACCTTTGCAGATGATCCTATGGATATGATATACTGCGGTATTCAAATCAACAGGGCCTAGGCACACAGATGGGGATGAATGGTGTCCTCTGGAAGTTGCACTATAAGGTAGGTGTTACTGAATGTCAAATCAAAGACCATTGGCTAAACTCTTTGAGTTTGATTAACGCAACATGAGTTGATTGCGTCTTCCGCTCTCCATCGCCTCTGGGGAATTATTCAGACGTTTTTTACAAACACTTGAACGCTGTAAATGTGAACGCGCGCCACTTATACACTTTATTGATCAAAGGGACGAGGTCAAGCTGGTGGACGTAGCTGTGGAAGCCAGTCCTGGAAGTCGAAGCATATTGCAAGAAAGTGGAAGCGCAAAGGGAGCCCATGCATCCATACAAATACTGCAT